TTACAGCCCTCATAGTCCGCCTATTCGCCCGCCAGTATCATCGCCCGCCCGCCCAGTCATACAGTACGCACGAGCCGACGACCCTTGGCGCACGCAAGACAACCGTCCCATTTGTTTTCATTGTGGCCTTGTTGGACATGTGGCCCGTTACTGTCGATTTGGTGCACAACCTATCTCCAACAGTGTGCGTCCACCATGGGTCATGTATGCATCACGTCAACCCCGCCGCAGTTCTTCAGACGACTACGAATCTGATCCTACCTCCCGGACCCCACCCTCCTCTCGCCGCTCACCTTCTCTTCGCCGCCGCTCCCTATCCCCCATGCACCGACGGCGGAGCCCTGTGCGCCAAGAAAACTAAGTAGCCCAGTTCAGGAGGCGAGAACTGCGGTTCCGGCAAAATGCATAAGGCCTCAAATTTCTCCCCGAAACATTATTGATGTTGCTATAGAAGGAACATGGACGCTAGCCCTTGTCGACATCGGCGCTGCCCTTTCAGCGATTGATGCCCGTATTTGCCACCATATCGGAAAAGTCACGACGCCTGTTTCTGGATTATCCCTTCGTACAGCCAACGCGCAGCACGTCGAGCCATCCGGTGCCTGCACAGCACATCTCGTCATCCAGGATGTTCTTTATGTGATCTAATTCATTGTGCTGCCATCTTGTTCTCATGACGTCATATTAGGGTGGGATTTCCTCTCTACACATCGTGCCATCATCAATTGCGCCCAAGATGAACTCGAGTTATTGCAATTTTAAACAGTTGTCATCAATGACAAGGACACATGTCGCAAAATCACAGTCTGTGACGTCGCCATTGTGCCTGCCCAGTCTACTGTTCTTGTCTCCATCTCTTGTGACTCTGAAGACGGCGGCTCAGTGCTTTTCGCACCATCTGCACTTCTAGTTCGCCGCCGATCACTGCCGTTGCCATTTGCCATTCTCGAGTTCCATTCAGGTGCCTCTGTCATGTACATCACCAATCCATCGCCAGAGCCAATCACTTTGCGACGCCGAGAAACCCTCGGCAAAGCCGAGCCGCTGGCGTCATCTTCGATATTCGACACCATGGATGACCCCACTGATATGGCCACCCTCGAGACATCAACTCCTCGGCCACTACCACGATCTTTCACACCAGCTATAGCCAGCGACCTTACGACGACACAACGAGACTAACTTCTTCGCTTGCTCGACGATTTCTCTTCCTCTTTTGACTGCCAAGCAAGGGCACTCGGCCGCACAACGGCTGTTTCGCATACTATCGACACCGGAAGCCATGCGCCCATTCAACAGCGTCCTTATCGAGTATCGGCGAATGAGAGGCGCCTTATCGATGACCAGGTGAATGACATGCTTAAACGCGGTGTCATTCAACCTTCTAACAGTCCTTGGGCATCACCCGTCGTCCTTCTTCGGAAGAAAGATGGCACAATACGATTTTGCATCGATTAACGCCGGCTTAACAAGATTACCCGAAAGGATGTGTACCCGTTGCCACGAATTGATGACGCACTCGACTGCTTGCAAGGAGCAGTGTTCTTTTCTTCTTTGGATCTCCGCTCTGGCTACTGGTAGTGCCCATGGCTGAGATTGACCGCTCGAAAACCGCGTTTGTAACACCAGATAGATTATACGAGTTCACTGTAATGCCATTCGGTCTCTGTAACGCGCCCGCCACCTTTGAACGCATGATGGACGGCATTTTACGCGGCTTGAAGTGGCACACTTGCCTCTGCTATTTGGATGATATTGTTGTCTTTGCGCCAGATTTCCTGACCCATCTACAACGGTTGCATCAAGTTTTGACCTGTGTCCGAAATGCCGGTCTCCAGCTTAACTTGAAAAAGTGCCTATTTGCCGCTAGAAAACTAACTATATTAGGCCACGTCGTCTCCAAAGAAGGCATTCTTCCCGATCCTGCTAAACTTTGAGCCGTATCCGAGTTCCCGAAGCCTACTAATCTGAAAGCACTGCGGACCTTCATTGGCCTATGCTCCTATTTTTGGCGCTCCGTTCGTAATTTTGCTACTGTTATTGCACCTCTCAATGCACTCCTCCAAGGCGACAAAGAACTATCTACCTGGTCAGAAGCTTGTGATGATGCGTTCGACGCCTGCTTACGTCTCCACCAATTTTGCGTCACTTCGCTCCGAGCGCACGCACAGAAATTCACACTGATGCTAGTGGTGTCGGCCTTGGTGCTGTGCTCGCACAACGTGACGATGCCAACACCGAATACATGGTTGCAAATGCCAATCGTGCACTCACAATACCTGAGACCAATTACACCGTAACTGAAAAAGAGTGCCTGGCCATCATATGGGCTCCACAGAAATTTTGCCCCTATCTTTACGGTCATCCTTTTGACGTCGTAACAGACCACCACACTCTGTAGGGTTGAGAGCTGGGCTAGTTGGTGAGACATCATTTAACCATATGGTGTAGTAGCGCAAATTCACGGGGACGAAGAGGACAAGAAAACACGACACTCGCTACACTCGCAACTAATTTTTATTTCAGAAGCAGCACTTCATATATAACCTATAACCCTAGCGACACAGAAAAGAACTACGAACACTGAATCATTGCCAACAGAAGCTTTTGCGCAGACTCAGGCGAGTTAAGTAACCTCCGCGAGTTAAGTAACTCTCCTTCGTTAAGTAACCGAGAAGCCAGCTACCTCGAAGGACTTAATTGAGATCAGTGTTTGCATGTGTCATTCTCTCCTTTTTGTCGTTTCAAAATTTTGTTTCAAACACGTGTGAATTCCCGCAATTTTTGGTTTTTTTGATATGATGTTACCCAGGGCTGTTTTAGTTATGTCATCTTAAAGTGTCTAAGCGTAACTGCCGTGTACTATCGCTTGAGTCTGCGCAAAAGGTTCTGTTGGCAATGATTCAGTGTTCGTAGTTCTTTTCTGTGTCGCTAGGGTTATGGGTTATATATGAAGTGCTGCTTCTGAAATAAAAATTAGTTGCAAGTGTAGCGAGTGTCGTGTTTTCTTGTCCTCTTCGTCCCCGTGAATTTGCGCTACTACACCATATGGTTAAATGACACCACACTCTGTGTTGGTTGTCAAACCTCAAGAAGCCGTCAGGTCGCCTTGCTCGGTGGGCCCTTCGACTCCAGGAATACGACATCCGTGTTGTATATCGTTCTGGCCAACAACACTCTGATGCTGACGCCCTGTCACGCTTCCCACTCATTTCAGACGCCAGCGCATCTAGTCACAATCACAATATTTCGCCACTTGACATCTTGGACATGGCCTCGGAGCAACGAAATGAACCTTGGATCGCCTAAACTTTTTGTCAAGCCCCCTGACCACCCAGGCTGCACGAGCACTACGCCACTAAGTGCAGCATTATGCTATCCGCAATGGTCTTTTATACCACCGTAACTACCAGAACGATGGCCGCACATGGTTATTGGTCGTGCCCCGCCATCTTCGTCACGATCTCTGTTCCGCTTTCCACAATAACCCTCAGTGTGGCCACGGTGGCGTGTTCCAGACGTACACGCGCCTTCGCCTAGGCTATTATTGACGCAGAATGTACACCTTCGTCTGCAAATACGTCCGCTCATGCCTCGCCTGTCAACGACGGAAACCAGTCTCGCACCTCTCCAGCCGCTTCCCTGCCCAGCCCACCCATTTGATCGCGTCGGCACTGACTTGTACGAGCCTCTCCCATACACTGGCGCTGGCAACCACTGGATTGTCGTCGCCGTGGGTCACTTGACAAGATACGCCGAAACCGCTGCATTACCTGCCGCAACAGCCAAGGACGTTTCCTTGTTTATTCTACGCAGCTTTGTTCTCCGCCATGGCGCCCCTCGTGAACTGCTCAGTGATCGCGGCCGTGTATTTCTCTCAAACGTAGTGCAATCACTCCTATCCGAATGCAGAATTATTCATCGCACCACTACCGCATATCACCCACAGACAAACGGATTAACGAAACAATTTAACCGAACTTTGGGTGACATGTTGTTGATGTACGTTGCGTCAGACCACTGCAATTGGGATCTTGTTCTTCCGTTTGTCACATTCGCCTACAACACCACCTCCCAAGCCACCACCGGATTTTCACCATTCTTCTTGCTATACGGCTGTGAACCCACTAGCACCATTGATACGATTCTGCCATATCATCCAGACGTTGACGAGTACCAGGCTGTGTTTGCGGTGGCTCACCACGTCGAAAAATGCCGACAACTGGCCGGTTCTTTCACCTACGACCAACAGTGTCGCCAAAAACAGCGTCACGACTTCGACATCCCTCCTGACCCTTTCACCGTCGACTCTCTAGTGTGGCTTTGGGTTCCGCCAGTTGCTGCTCCTGGCTTTTCTTCTAAGCTTCTTCCGAAGTATCACGGACCCTACCGTGTGGTTGCGCAGACCTCTCCTGTTAATTATGTGGTTGAACCCGTTACGCCATCTTCCGACCTTCGTCGTCGGGGGCGAGAAACAGTCCACCTTAACCGTCTCAAGCCGTATTATGACCCTCTGACCTCTTTCTAGGTCACCAGGATTGCTACCTCTCGATACCGGGGGTTATTGTGAGGAAGAAGATGGACACATGCGGAAGCGCATTGCCATCGCCTGGCTTGCTCGTCTGTTCGCTCGCTGGCTACGCTTTGCCTGCTGCTGCTGCTATCTTTCCGGTTGCTATGTACCTGAATAAACCCCCAGAAACAAAAGAAATACAACATAAATGCAATGAAGAATAACATGTCATTTATTGTTGTGAAGCAGCACCGGCTAAACAAGTACAAATGTGTCAACCCTTCAAAATGTAAAAGAAGTGTCTGTGGAACTGTACGTCTTGCTGCACAAGCATGTGGCTTGCTTACACTCTGTAGCTTTGGTAATACTGAACAATAGTGGTGAAATGATGGCTCTCCTTAGAACTCAACACGTGACGAATAGTCTTCAAAATTGAAGAGGGTGTATATGCATATGCCATAAACAGAAATTCAAAAGAAATACTAACCTGTAATTGGGGCATTTGCGTGCACCAGGACAACTCTGGACCAGATTCTGAATAGTTGGATGAGGCAAAGCAAAAAAATCTGCACCTCGTGCTGCAGGCACAATTACCTCTGCCCCACATGTTCGATTCACTGCTCGCAGAAGTGCAACATAGCATTCATCTGGACTGCTGCCCACAAAAGGTCGCTCAGGTGCATCCTCTGCAACGATTTCGAACTAGAAAAGAAAAGAGAACAAGACAACATATTGTTCGCAGTACCTCACTAGCATGAGCTACACATCAACCTCTGTCACTTTACAAAAGTCTTTCACTCCTTTGCTCTATAAAACATTTTACTTTGCCACAATTGCAATGATTATATAATCATACAATAAAAAGCAACAATTTGTGAATAGGGATATTGTTATTCGCTTTCATTGACGGTTATGTCTCTGCATATGCAATATCGAAACATCTTATGACCATTTGTAAACAGAACTTGATATTTGCCATGACACAAAGCAAGACTTTATTAAAAACAAGGCTTTACAAACAATAGCTCTACATTCTTGCGTCTTACTTTTAGGTGTAACAAAACAGTGAAAGATTGTCATGAGCTCTGGCATATTTATAGAGTGTGTGCACATGACTACTGGGACGTGGAGCATTATTTATTTATTGAAAGTACCTCACAGACCCCGGAAGCAGGGTTTTATATATAAGTATCAGAGATAGCAACCCTTATCTGGCTGTCTGTGTCCTGGACACAGCTAAGATCAACCACCCTGAATTACTTGCTTCATTACTTCTCAATGGAATACCTCTCACATGTGCACGGTTTGAAGGCACAAACAAGTTACTTAGGATGGTTGATCTCCGCTAAGCCTGGGAAAGAAACGGCCAGCCAAACATTTTCTCTCTATTTCACACCTTAACAGTCATTTACATATTGTCTGAATACTATTAGAGAGCTCTTATAATCACAGTGAAAAGGTAGCACACAAAAGGGATACATCTTACAGTCTCTTATTAGCTTCACAATGTGGTCTTTTGTGGCTTATACTTAAATGGTCCACTGGTGTTGCAATAAAAGCCTTGGTCTGATATTCAAATGCCGCCTCTACCATGCTCTTGTGGCCACATACACAACTATGATGCTGTACTGATGTGACGCAGTCCCCACATTTCTTTACCCATTATCATTAAGTTAACCTTCGATATCAATAGCGCCTCTAAGACCATTCAGTTGTATTGTATAATATCAGAGATTATTGTGCAAGCTAAATGGAACTGTACTATTATTCTCCCACCAGATGGTGCCACTGCTATATCAGGCACAATTTTCTTTTTTATTGTTAGTCTTGGTTATGCCAAGAACACTTTTTGTCACGATGTAAAATTCAGCTATAACATCAAAAAATAAAAAAGAAGACGGTATGAATTTTAAGAAGTCAAGTCAGGCACTTTTCTCAGCAAAACTTGCGGGTTAAAGAACATGTGTGTGGACCTACAAGTCAGGCTTTCATGAAAGCATTTCACTGTGACCAGGCACATAAATTGAACATATTAAAACGAAGTCACCATAGCATTACTTAATAAGCTATAAAAATAACTTCATTCAAGGGGAGTGTAGTTCAGCATGTGTAGCAAAAGCCATAAACATGGATACATAAAGCCAACAACAACCATATAATATGGTGTTCCACTGGCCCAAATTTGTCTTTTTGCAGATGATTGTACAATATGTCACAAAACTACTAATGATACTAACATGTGCTGTTTGGAGGATGATTAAAACATAGTGCCTGAGAGTCAAATATTTCTGAGAAAAAGTTCCCGAGGTGTTCAAATTACTTTGGTGCAGTTTTTAAGTGTATGAAATGTGTTAAGTTGGGAAAAATTGTAAAAATTATGAGGAAAAATTTTTTTTTGCATCTGTATTACTTCGTAATGTGAAACGTTCTACAGTATTGAAGAACGCGGCATTCCTTGGAACATGGGTCTACGCACAGGGCCTTATGACCATCTATACATATAACATGCATCTTCATTGTGCTGGCAAACACACAGCATCTTCTCTGCATGTGGCTGCCATGGGAAAAGTAAATCGGTAATGAAAGAGAATGAAAATACTTCTAGAGTGCTGGTGATAAAGAAGCTAAGAGAACCATCAATAAAGATGTAAACCTACTCCAACCACCCCTGCAAGGGAGTGCTCCTAACGATGAACATCAAGTTTCACGCGCCACCATTACAAGGCAGTGCAACCATTTCCAACGCTCCTTGCAATTTCTAGGAGGTGGCAGCCCGTCCCAGTGAGCATCACCATTACGGCATGAAATTTCAAGCAAAGGGTCCAAAATGTAGCTGTACGGCAAAGACACTGTGGGACCGAAAACCTCTGCTGTACATGTACAGCAAAAACTCTCAAAAGGTAAACTAAACCAAGAAGTGGTACATGCAAGTTAACCTAAGGAAATGAAAATCAATGCAAATATCCCTTTCTGACAATTTACTTGGTAAGATTCCTTTAAAGGGCATAAGAATCCACAAATATCTCTGCGCCTATATACCCTATAACTTGACCTGTAAGACAGACATTGATTTTATAACAAACAAAGCTAATTGCACACTTGGATATCTCTGCAGAACTTTTCACAAGCAACATTATGAGTATTTCTTATGACAAACAATTGTTATACATTAAATGTATTCATTCGCAGTTGGTGTATACCTCAACAGCATGGTACCCACATAATGGCATCTAAAATAACTGCCTTGAAAGCATCCAGAATTGCTCTGCTCAATTTACACTAGCTACCATCATAATTTATGCCAGCCTAACACAAATACACTAGCTACTATCATAAATTAAGCATAACACACATGAAGGCTACACTGAACTAAATTGAATCTCTCCTGTTAATTTCCCGCAAGAAAAAAAATGGTGTCCATGCTTATTTCCGAATATTTATACAGAATGCAGCCTTTGAACCAGAGTCGATTAAAAAGCCCCATTCATCTTCTCACGCAGATACCAAACACATTAAGTACATGTGCCTTCGTCAAATACACTAACACAATCATATTTATTAACAACATGCAACAAACATAACAGCCTGCCTGCACCTACTGTTAGCCTAAGTCACCCTGCTCTATTTAAAACTGCTTAATTTGAAAACATGATGCCTTAATCACACCTAGGTGACTTCCTGTTATTGGGTCATTCCAAGTAACGTCCCAGCCCAAATTAAAACACGTCCCTATTTTAAAGCATTCTATTGTTATTGACTCATTGTTCTTTTACACAATGTCACAAGTACAATAATATATCAGTTTTCCAGCCTAAATAGTAGCGGTTCCCACTGGGCGAGCAAGTGCAAGTGCAACAAGCAGCCAGAGCAGCACACAGGGGCAGCAGGGACGTGCACTCTCGTCTCCAGAATGAAACAACCCCTCTGCTCCGAGAGCACAAAAAATAGTGGACGCGCGTGATGTCAGGTGCCATGTGACCAATCTTTACCCGCACTGGCGTGCCGGCTTCGCGGGCATGTTCAGGCATTTCGCATGCTCGCACTGTCTGGGCACACCACCTCCCCGGGCATAAAACCAGAAGTGACGTGAGAAAGGTCATATGACTTCCTCCATGCTCTCTTTACTCCGCTGCTAGCGGCAGAGCAGCAAAAAGTTCTTTCAGCTGCTCTCAGCGCCGGAAAAGTGCTCCCACTCAACCAATGAAGCACCACGCCCAAGCTCCTCCCGACCACTGGAAGGCACCGCAAATTGGTGAGCACTTTGAGTGCAGTTAAATGAAAAGCGCTATAGACTTAGTAAAGCAGCAGTGTATATGGGGTTTAACGTCCCAAAACCACCACATGGTTATGACAGACACCGTAGTAAAGAACTCTGTAAATTTCGACCACCTGGGGTTCTTTAATGTGCACCGAAAACTGAGCATGCGGGCCCACAGCATTTTCGCCTCCATCGAAAATGCAGCAGCCGCAGCCGGGATCCGATTCCGCGAACTGCGGGTCAGCAGCTAGCAGAACAGCAAGAAAACATGCTAATCCATATATTTGTTTGTAAAAATGGCGGAATTATATCCCCTGCAAAAATTTTTTAGCTTTCTACCAGTTACACAGACACACTATCTGCTAAAAATATTTTAAACCTATGTCAACAAACGTTTATTCCGAAAAATGCTTGCAAAGTTGACAAAAAATTACCTTATTGAGAGATTCACTGGTAACTTATAATGTTGTGTGTTTGTTATTGCGAAGCATATTTATTTATTTATTTATTTTGCTTGTTGATTGTGGTTTACTACTTAGGTTATCAATAGTTGTACGCTTTGTTGTTCGTACTGTTCCTTAATGATATTCCCACTCCTGCTTGGGCCCGAGTAGGACCTGCAGTATTTGTAAATAAATAAAGAAGTTAAGCACAGGGTCCTTCGTGATAAAATGTATGAATATGCTTTAACGCCTTCTGTTTTGATATGGGAAATTTTATCAGCCCCCCCCCCCCTTTTTTTTCATGCACTTTCCTATCTGAAATGAGATATTCACCTGTAACCCGTTTGAATGCAACTTTGGGACATGCGTGCAGAATATAAAAACAATTTTCAATCCAGTTTTACAAGTTAGTGTCAATGCACTGAATTTCCACATTTTGCTTGCAAATTCCCTCTCTCCTTCACCCTACTACAATTTTTCGTGCGACTCCCGGTTGTGTCGACTTCGTGCAACTTCGTCTTCCACCTCAAACGGTTGCTTGCTGACTTCTGCTTTAATCAACTAACATTTTTTTTCAGAGTTTACAACATGTTTCAATGAACTAAATTTCATTTTCGGCCATGCGTTTGAGATTGCATGAGTTTATCTAAAAATTATGTACAGCAGCCTCAATCTTTAGCCAGCATGCATGAATGGCAACTTTTCTGCATGTCAGGGCTATGCAGGGGCGGCTCTAGCGGGAAGTATGGGGGGAGGTTTCTGGAACTTTTCCAGAATTTTTGCCTGCACCCCCCTCCCCAAAAGCAAACAGTTAAAAGAGAATGCATGAGTTGCCGAACTCTCTGCACCCACTGAACAAACTGACTTGTCGTGGATACCCTCCAGTGAAACAATTTGGACGTCGTCTCTAGTTATATCATGTAGCGAAGATGCAAAAAAAGATGAGCGTAATAAAGACGTGCTTGCAAAGCATGCTTAGCTGAGGCCATTGGCTGTTTCTTCCTAAAGACGTCACCCAAATTAGCACACTTGAGATGAACTGACAGTGTGAGTAGGAGAATGGTATTGCTCGTATATTATGGTACGAAGGTGCGCGTTATGGCAAGCATTAAGAAAATTAAGCTTGAAGATATGCCATTCATTCATGAGATAAGCCAAAAACATGGTTCATATAAAGTGCACCACTATAGGGTGACATCCTCAAGAATCTGCCAAGCAGACAATGGGCTCAGCTCAGCACCCTTCATGGGCATGCGCTTACCCTTGCACTTGTTTGCAACTCCATCATACCACTCTGATGAACAAATAAGTTTCTGCTTGGGCATGCTAGTTAACGATTGGGGAGGCTGTACATATTTGACCACCATTACTTAGTCATGTACTAAAAAAGTGCTTATTATGAAATGTAATTTAGTGACAACACAATTTTTCATTATTACTTATAATGTGCATTTTTCTACAACCTTATTGCTTGAGTTCTTATGTAGCCTCTCCTCTCTATAACACATATTCACTCTAAGGACACCGTAAGAAAAACAAAAACAAACAAATAAGTATATGACACTAAGTTATACATAATGTTAGCATCTAGTTTTACGCTGGCATTCAGACTAATCTCTTGACTTGGGGTTTTTATTCCAATCCATTTACTAAAATGACTCCTCTGACTTTATTTCTCTCACTAATCTTTCGACTTTGCCATGCATGCTAATACATCAAAAGAATTTTGTATTTTAACATAAAATACAAAATGAACTAGGTTCCCATGCCACTTAGCATGAGTTTTCAGCTTCTGTTGCCTAGGCTTGTGAACCTCAGCAGTTCGAAAGTTTTGAAAAACTCATGGCCAGAACAATGTTTTCATGACAAATACAAACTCCCATGCTGGTTAAAATTATTAACATTGTTATGAAAAAAAAGGGGGAGGGGGCATTTACATAAAACTACAGTTGAAACCAGGTTTAACCAAGTGATCACTGCACTCAAATTATTTTATTAAATCGGGAAGTTAGTAAAATCGAGAAAGATTTTCTGGTTCTTTGAAATCAATAATTGTAAACTAGTTACACCTGATAGCTACCGTAGCATTTTATTCATGCTTAACACATGGCTGTGTGCATGAGAAGCCCACAAGGACAGCCCTGACATACAGCCTCCCATGTGAGTGCTTGGCATATCGATGACAAGCTACCAATACGCCAAGACAGGGAGAGCGAATGTAGTAGTTGGGTGAGCAGGTAGAGTAAGAATGTGGCAAGAAGACGACCATTGTCGTCAGCCACGTAAACCATTAAACAACGAAAGCCACCACCATATTCCTGTGAGAATTGACAGAGGTGACAAACGACTGCCCCTAGAGCCATTTAGCATGTATAAAATGCTACCGACCTTAGTGTCTGCTGTTCCATACATAGGCACCACAAGCAGTCTTATCAAAATAAAACTAGGGTCGCGACTATGAGTTAGATGTTTCAAGACAATAGCACAACAGAGTGCACTTGAAGGAAAACCCCTCCATGTCGAAATTTAAAAAAAAATCACTGAATTTATTGCTCACTTGATTAAAGAAAAACTTCGCAACTAATCTAAAGAGCTGAACGGATGGCTCGCGCCAGCGGGGCCCTGGAATGGGGGCACCACCCTGCCGGACAGACTCCGCTCTTCACCCTGTATTTTCCTCGAGGCACTGGAGTTCTAGCCTGTCTGGATTATGTACATAATAAAGTTTTCTGCTACTACTACTACTATTCGTTAATTCAGGTTAAGTACCATAATAGGTTATTTAACACAATGAAACCTATGCCTATGCACTGGAGAATGGAAATTTCTTACATTGGAGAATTCATAAAATCGGGTCTCTTTAAATGATGTTTTAAGTGTGTAACAATATGAACAGTGCAAACCAGAAGCAACAGAAAGCCTTTATATAGCAGGTATATATACTGTGCTCCTCAATTTACTGATAATACAAGCATTACCGTACCCGAGGTCCAGTGCCGGCATCCAGAATGGTGCATGTGTAAATGCAGGCATGGTTGGCATTAAGAACACTTGCATAAATGCGAGAGCTGCAGTAGCCAACAGGGTAGAGGCTCTCCTGACAGTGGAATCCAGCACGATCAGTGACAATCTCGCCAAGACTATGCACTTTGCAACCGGGCAGCACAATAGGAAACAAGGGCCGACCGCATGAGTCCAGTGGTATAGGTGCTACAAGACGCTTGTCCGCTCCTGCAGGCTTTCTCCGTTTCGCCCTTGGCACTTCCTCAGCAAGCCCTTCCTGTAAAACACAACACTGCTTTTTATAGTAGTACCTTCAAGGCTGATCACATGTCTACACAGTCACAAATTTACCAGACAGCATACGTGTACTAACTTTTTTCAGCATAGTTTTTACGGGGTGTTTCAAATTACTTGAACAAAAATCCTTAAAAAAGAAAAGTGGTACACTGAAGGTTTTTGTAAAGTGGGGAACTGGGGGAGGAATTCAATTGAATTATGGATTTTACAACTGCCAGAAAGCCAGACTTGAACCTTCTGAAGTGAGACAGCTGCAAGAGTGGGTTGTACTTAAATGGCTAACTATGCCCCTGATAAAACTTGATAATATGTGGGGTTTAATGTCCCAAAACCACCATATCATTATAAGAGACACCGTAGTGGAGGGCTCCGAAAAGTTCGACCACTTGCGGTTCTTTAACGTGCACCCAAATCTGAGCACACGTGCCTACAGAATTTTCGCCTCCATTGAAAATGCAGCTGCCGCAGCCGGGATTCCATGCCACGATCTGCGGATCAGCAGCCAAGCACATTAGTCACTAGACCAACGCGGCGGGACTTCCTGATAAAACTTATTCCTAACAACTGTTGTCAGGCAGAGAACATCAATGGACTTCTCCAACAAAAGCATGCTGAACCTGAACTCAGTCTTTTCATGCTTCCAGACACTACAGGTAAGGGTGCCTCCAGCATGTAGGGGTACAAACCAGAGGGCACATGAAAGACAGCGTAGAAAGCGCAGAAGAATGAAAAGGGCCTACAATGGCACATAGAATTTCTCAAAATCATACCTAGAGGGAAATCTGGCGCTAGTGAGCTGCTGGATGCTAGGGAATGACGGGACACGTTAGCTTCGAATTTGCCTCGGATTTGTATATCTCTAAGACGCGTCTGGTTTCACATTAAAATGATTGATATCTTACTAAAAAAAGCACGTAATCAGCTATTTATTTTTGTCATTGCACAGAAACGTGTTGTATTTAAGACTAGAACCTTCTACATTGATGCACAATTGTACAAGCGTAAGAAGTAACCAATGATCGCTAAACTTGGCAGGCAGACGACAAAGCGAGCGTTCTTTCCGCCACATTTATAACGTCTGTTTCTTTCCTTCGCCGTTTGGTTCTGCCGTCAAGGTAAGTGGACTTTTATTTTAGAATATAATACGCGTGAATGAAATCCGCTTTTAAACATTTTGTTTTAGAAGTTTTTATTTACGCAGTTGCATTCACTTTTGAGCCGAAGCCTCGCTCAACACCAGTCATTGCAAGCCTCGCAGACACATATACCGTCATTCCCAGTGCTCCAACATCGCCCATTAAGAAATTTGCATAGACGGTGGTGCCACACTTCCCTCTAGGTATTTGTGAGAAACTTTATGTAATGGCATCCCCCAATGTTTGGGCAGCCTATACCTACAACTCTCAATGATCTTTAAGGCTTCAGGGGCATCAAGAGTGGGCAACATAGAGGCTCGACAGCAATCGCACAAAATAGTGTCACCATGCATGGCTACATTTTCAATAGTTAACACGACAAGAACCAAACATTAAGTAAAAGATAAGCTATAAAGATTAAGAAGTCAATTCAGAGGTTTTTACATGCCAAAAAATACAATTATGTGCCAGCTCATATTGGAGGACTCCGGATTTATTTGGATCACTTGCAGTTTTTTAATGTGAACCTAAATAAATTTTCTGGATATCACCTTTATCAAAATGCAAGTTCCATGGCTAGGAATTGAACCCATGTCCGCCTGCTTAGCAGCACAACTGCAAAGCTGCTAGGTTACTACAGTAAGTTATGAACTAAATAGATCATAATTAACAATGTCGTTCTTCAAAACCTGTGACATTAAAAAGTTTTATGATGTTTCTTAGTACCCTTTTTTTACCCCTTGATTATGAAAAACAGTGCAAATACAAGGGATGAACATAAAGATATATAGGAGTGCCAATTTCAGATTGCTTACTTTTCCAGAAACACAATTTATAGCTTTGACATCACAAGAAACACCAAATTATACCATGTGCTGATATTCCTTTCCTTTGTCAAGAAAGATTAATGGCCTGCTTACACATTAATGACCACATTAGTCCATCATGTCAGCTTCTATAATCTCACGTGTCATCACTGTTTTCAGCTTCTGCAGATGACACATGACAAACATTCCAAGGCTAGAATAGAGGCACCTACTTGCAGAATAGAGGACCCACATACAGTTTATTACAAGATAAAGGTACGCAGTTGATTTCCACTCTGTACTGGACAAACTTAAGTACATGCTGTATCTTCATTGCAGTTCAGGTCAGTGATTCTAAAAATCTCTGATAACTTCACATAGCAATCTTCTTTAGATTGTGGGAAAGAGCATTCTTATAAAAAAAAAATCAGTTTTACACTTCTCTGAGAGCACACTGAAAGACAAGTGCTCAGATCTGCATTAATTTTGGAGCAAATCTTCAAATTTTTTAATTTAAAATTTTGGGATACCCCACACCTAAAAGGTGATCTGCTTGTCTGTTAAAGAGACACTAAAGTCAAATATTAAGTTAACGGTGAGTGTTGAAGTAGTAGTTCAAAAACCTCGCAGTGCTACTTTTGTGCTAAAGAAGTGCTTATCTTCAAAGAAAATCGCGTTTTGGTGGTCCACAACACATTAGAGCACGTCAAATTACCCGCCTGCAAGCTGTACTTCTGACATCACTATTGTGGTGCCCAACATTGCTTGCCTTTACTGTGTGGCCGCCGACACTAGCAGCAGCAGAGCAAAAGTAGCGCGAGCCACAGCAGCAATAATGGCCATCAAACAATTTTCCTGCTTACTTGGTTCAACTGGGCCCCACTAGTCACCCCCCAATCCAATCTAACCAGGTGAAAATAGAACTTTTAATCTACTCGTGCCATTTCCCATAGTAACGGCAGGAGATTCTTTTTTCGATTATTCAAACAGAAATGGACACGCAGCATTTTATTGCGAGTCGTAAAGCACTGAAGGTTCTTTTTTTTGCTGCAGCTTGTTTGATTAGCAGCAATTAATTAAAGTTGGACGCTTTCACGTCGTTGGGATCACTTTAAAAATGTCCCACTCGTGGCGCATGTGGTGTCTTACATCTACCTTAATTTCTCGATTAACAGAGCACTGCCGTTGATGATATCGACGTTTTAGACATTCCCAAATATTGATCTCTCACTGTGACATAAATTGTTATTTGCCTTTAGTGTCCCTTCAAAGAGGCAGCGCAACACTTATTCAAGTAATAATCAAATGGCTTCATTACACAAATTTATTACTTCGAGGATCGACTGTCACAAAAATGCTTAGAATCAGTTGAGTACAAGCAGGTCACAAATATTTGTCACATGCCTTAGGCATTTTCTTTCTCCTTTCATACTATAAAGCATGGTGAGAGCTACGTAAAAGGCGAGGAATAAACTGAACAAAGGTATCAATGCAGGCTACTAGTTATTTCATTGCAGAGTAGATATTTCATTATGCCTATTTCCTGTCTTCTTTCTTAAGATTTTCGAACTTGGCGCTTAAGATTTTCTTAAGATTTTCGAACTTTCAAGGAAGGACAAGGGGGCAAGAAGGTAAATCCGATTGTCAGTATGCGTCATGACCTTTAGCCCCCCCCCCCCCTTTTTTTTGCCATTCTTCAAGTCAAGTCAAGTCAAGTCAAGTCAAGTTTATTAAATAGTTCAGTTGAGTTACATGGTTAGCGTTATTACAGCAGGAGGTCCCAAAGTTTCAGAGAAACTGACAGGGGGACCTCCTATGGCTACATGGATGGGGTAATTACAAAAAAATACAGCAATAGTATACGGTCTTGTGAGTAATAATGAATAATCTTGATTAACAATAAAAACACGATCAATACACAACATAATGGTAATACTCACTATTGAAAAATAACAAGGAAACAATCAAAAGCAAGTTAAGGCAAAAAACAATATTAATGAACTCTACGTGACAAATGTAACACGTTTCATTATCAGTGTTATCAATTATACAATGGCAAATTGAAGTAGTAAAAAAGCACAGAACTGTGGAAAGCTATTAACAGTTAATTACACAAATCGGATGAGTTGATTAATTCCTGAACGTAATATTTCTTACTACGCGAAGTGAAAATATGGATATTATGCGATGATTTCAATTCGAAAGGCAATGAATTCCAAATGGCTATGCTAGTAAATAAGGTTGAGAACCTGCCGTAGTTTGTCCTTACGGCCGGCAAAAGAAGATTATAGCACTGAGAAAACCTGGTGATGTTACCATTAGTTAAGTGACGATGATCAATGCATGCAATAAAATGTCATGCGTGATGAGTCTAAAGGCGACAACGGACATTCTATGACAAAATAATTGTCTCAATGGGAGTATGTTAAGCTGAGAAAACAACGAGCTGCAGGAGAAGTAAAATGGGCTGAAAGTCATTAATCTAACTGCTTGATTCTGAAGTCGCTGCAAACGTTCGATGTGCGTGAAATATGTGTTGGCCCAAGATGATACGCAATACGAAATATGGCTATGAATATAAGCAAAATACAAAGTACGTATGATGTGAGGCGGAAAATAAGTTCGTGTCTTGATGATAACGTGAATACCAAATGCAATCTTTTTAGCGAGTGATGCTGCATGTTTATGAAATTTTAGTTCGCTATCTAAGATGACGCCAAGAAACCGCGCTTCACTGGAAATGTTTATGACGGTATTACCAATGTGAAGGGAAGGTTGTATGTCAAGTGAAATGCGCGGGGAATGGAACAACATAAACACGGTTTTAGTAGCATTGATCTGAAGATAATTGGCCTGGCACCATAAAGTTATGTTATGTAAATCTGTGTTGAGGTCAGACTGGAGTGAAGAAACTGATTTAGATGACTGAAAGATGGTTGTGTCGTCAGCGTAAAGTATGCACTTGGTCCTTGTAAGAATTGTAGGTAGATCATTAATAAACATCAAAAATAAAAGTGGGCCTAAAATTGATCCCTGTGGAACACCGACGTTAATTAACTTGGGCGTTGAAAGATGGCCATTAACATGAACCATTTGAGACCGGTTACTGAGGTAGCTCTTAATAAAACTTAGTGGCGGACCAGACATACCAAATGATTCGAGTTTAGCAAGTAGAACGTGATGATTTATAGTGTCAAAAGCCTTCGTCAAATCGATAAACACAGATCCCACAAGTAACCCTCTATCAATAGCTTGTTTAATTTCCTCCGTTAGGGTAATTAGTGCCAGCTCAGTTGAATATCCATGACGGAATCCGAATTGTTGTGGAGATAAAAGATTAAATTTTTTCAGATAACGCATTAATCTAATGTGGAATAACTTTTCAATTACCTTACCGAAGAAAGGCAGGATACAGATTGGCCTATAATTCTGTACAAAAGTCTTATCACCCTTCTTAAAAACTGGAACTATTTTACCAGCCTTAAGGCAGCTCGGAAACACACCCGCTGAAAACAGCTTGTTAATAATTACTGCCAAAGGTGGGGATATTAAGTTTGAAACTAGCTTTACTTTAAAAGGATCAATATTATCTAAACCAGCACTTGTGGTCTTTAGTGATGTGATGACCTGAAGGACTTCATCTGCAGACGTGGAATGAAGATAAAAAGAATGAGTACACCGTGGTATATTGCGTAAATGACCTGGTGATTGCTGCGTATCCGCAGATGCGCAGAAATGCTCACTGAACGTGGCGGCCACTCTTACAGGGTCGGTATACATTTCGTCGCCTTGCTTTATTTTATTGTGGGATCTGAGCATTTTTTCATGTTCAAGAAATCTTTAATGATTCCCAGCAGCGTCTCGTGTTACCCGTGTTTTTTACAATGAGATTCCGGTAGTAATTGCGCTTAGCACACCTAAGTAAGGAAGATAATGTTGCTGAGTATTTGTGAAAGCGGCATTTTAATGCGAGATTATAAGGCTGCGACTTTAGTTTCTTATGAAGGTTATTCTTTTTATTAATGGACTTCAACAACGAGTTGCTTATCCATGGATTTCTAGGGAACGATACCACTTCGTGACAGTAGTGGAAGTGGTGGATGCATCTATACCTGAAGCTATTACTTCTGAGAAAGACTCAAAAGCCTTTTCTGCGCAGTCTAGATTAGTCACCGATGTCCAGTCTACTGTGCTAATTATTTGCACAAACTTGTCCGCGTCGAATCGGCGTTTCGTAGAGATGTTACTGGCCTTGGTATTTTCGGAGCCCAGAATGAAAAATACGGGATTATGGTCTGTAATGCTATGATCTATTACACCTGCTACGTGTTCAGTGGAAATGTTGGAGATAATATGATCTATTAGGGTATTCGAACCTAGTAAATCGTTTCTAGTTGGTGCTGAGATATGCGACGTAAAGCCATAGCAGTATAAACAGTTCATATATTCTAAGCACGATGCACTATCAGGATCAATAATGTTTATATTAAAATCACCACATAAGACAACGTTTTTATTTTCCCTCACTAGGTTATTAAGAATGATGCTTAACTGATTACAAAAATCGGAATACGACGATGAAGGTGACCGATAAATGGAAGCTATAATAGTACTACGGCTATTCAATGGTATAACACTATGGTTGAATTCAAGCCAAACAGATTCACATAAAATATTATTAAAGATTATGTCACTACGGCGTGTGTAGGTTAAGGATGAGTTGACAAGTATGGCACTACCGCCACCACGACAGAGCTCCCGATTACAGTATTCGGAATAATAACCTGGCAATCCGTACAAGTTATCCTCATTACCAGACAACCAAGTTTCAGATAAACATGATAAACAGATTTACGCAACTAAAGTTTGCGTAAATCTCTCTTTTTGAATGGGCGGCTTAAGTTCAGTGGGATCGCGAGCGAGCGTGTGGGTCTGTTGCAGTATCCCTAAGCGGTTGCAGTAACTATGCAGCTCATGATGCTTAAATCAGCCAATGGCCATGGTTTTTAGGTTTATTGCATCATTTGTCAATAGAAGAGGGAGCGATTTCCAGCTGACTAAGAATTGACAGTAAGTTCTAGGCCACGTAGTGCACAATAATGTTTGGCTCATGTGTTCTCAAGAGCCTCGACTACCAATCAATGGCATTTTCAGACCATGCTGAAAATGTGTTGTAGGGTCCCTCTATGACTTAGTTATGGCATGAGAACAATTTTCTAAGCACACTAGTGAAAGATAACTGAGCTAAGTTGTGCTTGAAAAGATTAGAATATGGGGAGTCAGGCTAAAGCAAATGTTTGTTAGCGAGTGGTTTATACATCAGTGTGTTCATCATTTGCTTTAAAGCCAATAAATTACTACGATTTCATGCTTTATTACCAGTGCGTGTAGAACTCATAGGAATATTGATAATATATCAGCTACATAGCTTACAAGATGCTGACGTCAAATAAAATTTTAAAAAAAGTTTGTCTACAAATCTAAAACATTTAAGCATGTCGGTGCTCTTCAGGTGCACTGATTATGAGGGATTGCAGAGTGGAGGTCTCCGCAAACTTTGACCAGCTGGGGTTCTTAAAGGGGTCGTGAAACGAAAATGAAACTTCGCGGTTGCAATTTTCCCTGATTTAATAAGGATTGAAGATACCGATTCCGAAATATTTCGGCACAATACTCCTTCTGTAAATAATGATGCCCGTTTGAAATCGTAGTTTTTTGGGGATCGTTAGCAACTATGCGAGTCCATCGGTCGCAATAAGCACTAAAATGTGACGTCAATGATACGTCATCTTAAGAAAAGTTAAAAACAGAGCGATAGCTTTACTTCGCTCTAAAGTAGTATAATTATAGGATAATAAAAAGAAAAAACAACAAGAGTTGTTTTTGCACTCTGAGTCCTAAGCTGTAAAATGACAGTGAGTGACCTGCTCGGTTCTGCTTTCTAATACATCCGGGCTGTCACGTGTGTATCCATGCCTTCCCGTCGGTTGCCTTTGCTCGGTTACGTTGGCTAGCTCAGTCAGTGCGGTCATTGCAGCGTACCAGTTTTTTTTCTTACTGGTTACACCAACTTGTGTTTTACTGTGTGTTCTCGCTGGCTTAGTCCTCGCTATGCCAACTGTGTGCATCGTCAGACAGTGCCGCACAACTTATGGAAGTGCAAACAACGTTCGCGTTCACAAGCTGCCCAGAGAGCCTCAGCGCAGAGCAGCGTGGCTTCGAGCTATCAACCGCGATGGCCCCGCTGGTCTGGGCGCAGAGAGTGGGTTCGTGTGTTCCGACCACTTTCAGCCGCAAGACTACGAAACCAACCTCAATGTCTCGTTTTTGAAACAAAAAAACGCTCACCTCAAGCGTGAAGTACTCCGCTCGAGCAGACGACGCTGTAGTTCGGGGAGGTCGGCCATCGCACACTGAGTGTTTATGATGTTATGGTGTTGCCGGTACCACAATCTAAACAGTGTGATGCTACAAACCACGGTCAACTCAAACGCAAAAACATCGCTGCATCACCATGTTTTGTCGACGTCAGAGACATTTCGTTGGCCGTCTTAAAATGACGTCAACAGCACAGTTGACAGGAACGTGAGCGAGGAAACCGAAATAGCGCTTTTTTAGTAATTCAGCGAACCCAGACATCAAACGAGTCGAGGTTTAGTATTAAATGGACGGCCAGGATTCTGAATACCCACGTAGTTGAAAATTTTTGGATGACGTTTCACGACCCCTTTAACGTGCACGTAGATCTAAATAAACAAGCCTCTGGCATTTCACCTCAATGGAAATGTGGTTGCCAGGGCCATATTTCAATGGAGAAGTGAAATAGCTGTATCTTTGTAGATGTTGGCTAAAGCAGTGATGTATGTTCAAAGTGCTCCTTAGTGATGCATTGCTTTGGAGAATGTTGGTATCTATACTGAGATGAATGCCTTTTTTAAAAAAGACTATGAAAACAATATAAGAAAATTTGTTTTTGCTCAGCACATTTCTCAATTCCCTGGCTGACTTGGCCAGAAAATTTTGTCCTTCTGCCATCAGAGAATTTTGCAGCCTAACTAGGACTGTAGAACTTTTTCTTCACCTCGTCTGCATGCTTAACAAAGTACAAGCAATATTTGGCCACCAGTCATTAACAAACTGAGCTGTACCTTCAATCATTTTTCCCAATTCAGCCAGCATGTGCACTATGCTCAAACAACCCAAAGAAACCTGCAACTGGTTGTTTTCATATTCTATTATCAGACTACATGTTCATTGGTACAACAGATGAAAAAGATAACAAATGAATGCAAGTCAAAAAAATTTCAAGATGGACGTTGCAAAGCCCCATTAGTATAAATGTCCCTGTTTTACATCATGCATTAAATGAAATACCGCAATGCAACTTTTCTGTATCATTGTGCAGAATCAGATTTTTTTTCTTCGTTCGATATATTTAATAGATTGTGCTCACCACACCTTCTACTAGCAATTCACAAGAAAGCCACATAAACCATATATAACAAAGGGACACTACAAGTGGTGCATACCTCAAGTGCGTTACCAATGTAACTTATTCGTACGTTTAACTGCTGAAGTGCAGCAAATAAGCAACGTATTGACTGCAGTATGCCATCACGAACTTGCGTCCTCTGAACAGTGGATGTTTTAACACTGGGCAAACCAATGATAATACATCCACTATTGACGCTAACGCTCTGGACAAAGTAAATGTGCAAATGACATATTTTACTGTTCAGATGAAGGTTCTCAGCCTTCGCACAGCGCTACTGTAACATAAGCAACAAGTATTTTCGCTAGGATCCGCTTACAAACCTTGGTGTTACGGCGTTTAAGGACTTTTTTTGAAGACTTCGCCTGCGGCTTGTCGGTACTGTCCAAAGTAGCCCCAAGTGTGGCCATAGTCGGCGGCGATGAACTACGAGTCTGCGCTGGTGCGCTGGCGTGTGCAGGTCGCACTGTTTCAATGGGTCCATCACGTTGCTGGCGATATTGGAGCAACTTCTTCAGCAGGAACCGTCGCTCTTCTTTGGCCACAAAGATCGACTCTTGTACGCGTGCCACTTCGTCACACAGCGCTGCACTCTCCAAGACCAAATCCTTCATAAAGCGCTCAAGCTTACGGCACTTAGTGCGGTAGCGTTCATTTTCCATTGTGAACATAAGGTTGGCGCGTTTGAGAGCCAAATTACTTGGCCCTTTCTGACGACCGCTACGAGGAAAATATTTGATTGTGTGTGCTGGGACTCCTGAGTCCAAGTCGCTAGAATCATCTGATACGTCGTCAGTCATCACGACTTCTCTTACCTGGCCACCTACTTACACACGAAACAAACCGGCTCGCTTAATGATGAGAACACCCCGCTACTGATGAGACGTTCTTGCACTGATTAGCAACCGCTAGCAAAAGCTCCTCCGGTGCTTTCACATTCGGCTAATTACCTTGCCGCTGCTTTTTATAAACTGCAAGAAGCAGTATACGCGTATACATCGAACACCTACTTGCAATGCACAGTACTACACTGTAACCACACCCTCCTACATTTCCCTTGCCAGCCGGATTATCGGCGGTCACTTGGAAAGCGGCCGTCGTCGAAACTATGGTGGTGGCGCTACCTAAGTAAGAATGTTTTTAAATAAATGTTTACGTTTTTGGAGCTTATATGCAACAAAAATAACGTAAAAAAGTTTTAAAAGACGTAAACGTAATTATAATTAACCCTACGTAAGTGAAGCCGTCATTCAACAGGCAATTTTTTCAATACAAGACATAGCCCCTGAAATTAATAACAAACGCTAAAATTGCCGATCTCAAAGGCCTAGTACAAAGACTTATTTTTACGTAGGTAGCGTTGTCATAGATGACGGGCGTTTCGCGCTCATCCGGCAGGCAAGAAAAACTTAGGAGGCTATGACCGCTATGACAGTAGTTACGACAGTTTGATGAGCTTGACTATGGCTTGGCTGGCTCGGCTACGGCACCTCAATATTTTTTTTCTTCTCTTTTTACAGCTGAGCCAGCTGAGCTATTACGTTTTTTGTCACCTCCCTGCCTTTCCTCTCTATTTATCTCTCTCTCCCTTGTCACGCCGTGTGGTGGTTTGGTCAGAGGAAGGAAATGACGCCTAATTTCTGCAGCCCTTAAGGGAGCACGGCGCAGCCATAGAGTAACATAGTACGTCACGGAGGAAGGAAAGGTTCCTTCCTCCGTGTAGTACGTTTACTATGTTACTCAAAGGCGCAGCGTCGACACTAAACTACCATCATGAACCACAACGCTCTCTTTGATGTGCGAGAGAACGTGCACAGAGTGAGAGAGAAAAATAAAGCGGAGAAAGTAAGTTTATTAAAACAGAAGGCAAGAGATCGTCTACAGGGAGAAAGACAACGAACTAGAAAGGGAGAGGAAAGAGAAAGGATACCAAAAAAGAGAAACAGACATACGTACACACACACACGACAAGACAAAAAGAGAAAGCAAGCAGAGGGAAAATGAGTGTTAGGAGGAGGTAAATGGATAAAGCATAGCATATTCTTGTATGGGGGGAGGGAGATGTGCGGCTTAAAAGGAGGGAAAGGACGGCGGCAGCACTACCAGCTCAGCTGATTCTGCAGTCTTCACCCAACTAGTGCATGACCCCCCCGTCCCCTCTTTTTTTTCCTTTTCAAGGGTGGATTAAGATAGATAGATATGTGGGGTTTAACGCCCCAAAACCACCATACGATTATGAGAGACGCCATAGTGGAGGGCTCTGGAAATTTTGACCACCTGGGGTTCTTTAACGTGCACCCAAATCTGAGCACACGGGCCTACAACATTTCCACCTCCATCGGAAATGCAGCCGCCGCAGCCGGGATTCAAACCCGCGACCTGCGGGTCAGCAGCCGAGTACTTTGGCCACTAGACCACCACGGCAGGGCAAGGGTGGATTAACAAGCATCCACAAAGTTCCAAACTGTGATCAAGTGTAGTCACGTTTTGCCTCAATGTGCGTCCCACCCTAACTCTGGAAGGTGCAATGGCCATAAACGCAAGTGCAATAATTATAAAACTTCTTAATGCACAGCTAAGCTTACAAGTTCACAGTAGCCCTGTAGACAAAAGCGAATTGAGCCATGGCCGAACAAGGAGCAAACGCTCTTTATGCGTCTCAGCCGCCATAGGCGAGCGTACAGGTGCACCATGCTCTTTGGTCAATGAACTGAGCCTGTGGACACCACAAACGTTATCAGAAGTATGTCCAGGCATCATGGTACAGATGTAACTACAAACATGCTTGAAATTTACAAGTAGACTTCAGTAATCGTGAGAATATCAAACACAGTAAATTGCAATTGAAGATGACGTTTCTGGAACTCATTGATGTCTTTCAATGCTTCACAAACTACAAGCAGTCAATCAAAAAAGCGTAGCTCAAATGTGAGAGTCACTATCATGCTTTATTTAACGGACACGTTTACAGCAGCTGAGAGCAGTGAATGGCAGAGCTGGTTTATCAAGGACTTCACAGTTCATTCCCCATGAAGTAAAAAAACGAGCAAAAAAAAACATGGACAAAAAGAAATGTGACAAGACAACAGTTTGTTATCACATGTTTTCCTCTTGTCTGTGTTTGGTTTTTGCACTGTTTTACACACTTTACAACAAACCCTGAAAAACAGGCTCAACTTCCCATTCTGCATTAAAGTACGCCACAGTTGTTCAAGGGATTTATCTTTCAGTGCCTGATGAATGAATGTAAGCTGTGGCCACTGCAATTGCTCACAAGCAAAGTTCTGCAATTAAGCCCAAGGTCAGCTGTCAAAACAACCTGCAGCTCCCGCCTAGATCATCTCTCTACAGTCATATACAACGTAAGAAGATCAGAGAGGACCCTCCCAGATGACCGAAGCATGACAGCTGATCACCTCTGCGACTAATGAAATAGTTCTGCTCAAGTACTCAGCAATGTTCTCCGAAAGCACTGGCACTCTAACTTATGATGTCAGCCTGGAGTACACATTCATTGGGGGAGGCTTGTGTGCATCCTCCTTCGAGGAAGAAATGTCGTGGAATTCTGAAGTTGTATTCAACTATAGTACTGTGTTGCTGACAATAACCCAATAAAGGCAGACCTGTTCACTGAATGTAAAATGAACAGCAAAAGAAAGAGAGAGCAAAACAATATCTTATATATTCAGTACAAATTGGATGGCCAACAGTGTCCTGTTAGGAAGAAATAAAAGTATATATTACTATGTGCCTACTGAAAGTTCAACAGGTTGTAAATTATTGTAAGGCCGAAAATCCCATTTACTACTGCCCTCATGTGAAAGAAGACAACAAAAGTATACATCATGTACATTAGTGGTGCAAGCATGACAATAACCCTTGCTTAAGTTGCTTTAAATGCATTTTATTCATTTACAACAAAGACCCATACATTAAAATTACACGAGGGAGGCACATACAATTCATATAATATGAATGTAAAAACAAATAAGAATCAAGCAAATGTGTGCATATGTTCATTAACAAACTAAAAAAAAAGATAGTAAGGCAAATCAAGACAAAGATAAAGGCATGAATAACAATAATGTTTGATGTCAAAGCACTCCACTCCGCAACTCTGAGAAAGCTTATTTTTTATGAGCAAGACGGGCAAAAAAAAAAATGAAATGCCAAGGGGCAGCGAAACATGGTTGTGGACATGAAGGCAATTGATCCCCAGATGAATGCTCGATATGACCGATTGACAGAAGTCCGTGAAAAAGTAGATGCCAGCAAAGAGCCACCGCACATGTAACATTACTCAGGCACACTTAAAATACAATCCAGAACGCCTGGTCGCAAGCGACATAAAATTTTGAGCTCTTCCAATCATGCCACAACAACATGCCAAAGAGTAACATTTGCGAAGAACATAACAGTTTGAACCAAATATGGCAGTCCGAGCATACGGTACCGCAACATATTTCATACAATGAACCTTTGTTCTAGATCGTAGCACGTGGCATTTTCATTTTATACTGAGTTGCAAATGTTTTTCAGGAACATATATGGACGATTTTCATCTTATATGTCATAAAAACAAGGTGCTAGGGTCACGTACCATTTTTTTTTACTTTGCAGGCGTTTAGTGTCATTTGCAATATGTCATGTCACATTCAAATTAATATTATACACACCCTTTCAACTCACTTTAGTTGAATTTACACCTTATTAGTATGCAATGAAACACAAGCACAATTGTCCTAGATTTAAAAAAACTTTCAGCACACCTTAAAATGAATAATTAATACTCAAAAATAAAGGAGAATAAAATCCAATGAAAAATTTGTGACATAATTGCTTCACAAGTTAGGTTGTGTAGTCTCTGGTAAATGAAAGACACATTATTTATTATGTGAATGAATACCTTGCACAAAAATGTGCTAAAAAGTAATCAGATTAAACAATTTAAGAGAGGCAGCGCTGCAAGGAGCCATTATTTCTTATAAGTGTAAGAAATGTATCCAAGTCTCTGTTCATAAGAGTAACACGACGAGAATGATGAGCTAATACATTGGCACCTTGCAGAACTGCCACAATGATAGCTTCGCTGGTTTCTTGGAGGACACTCAGTGCAAGCTTCTGCATCCTGAAGTCCTTTCCCCCTACAGAAAAAAGTATTTCCCGCACAACACGTGAAAAAGGAAGACGAGGAATCAAGGTCATAGAAGACGAGGCAGGTGACTGATGGTGCCTCATTCCTCGCAAGACTTTATAACCTGTGGTCCTCTTGACTGGCTTCATCTGCAAGAAACAAAGCACATACGTTACAATGTAAATACGTTGGCATCAACAAAATATCGCCATAATCACTCACCCTAATTTTCAGTGAATACTTATGTCCACGGCAGAACAAAGACCTCTCCCAATGATCTCCAATTTGCTATATCCAGTGAGAGATGGTTCTATTTTATGCCTGCAAACTTTCCGATTTTTGTCACTTCATCTAACCATCTGCCGTCTTTGGCTACATCTCTCATCCACTGGTATCTATTCAATGATTATCTATGCTTTTCAATGTATGGCCTGCCCAAGTCCAATAACAAAATGGGCATGGTCAGGCCACATAATGTCTCAACTAGGGCAGGCCATGCTCTTAACGTCAGCTACACTCTTAGCCACTCCTGTTCTGTAATCGATGTTGCTTTCTTCTTTTCTTTAAAGTTATCCTTAACATTTTTCGTTCAATCGCCGGTAATGGGGTTCCTAGCTTATCGAGTTCCTTTGTTACTACCTAAGTTTCCGCACTTTATGTAAGTACAGGTAACATAATATAGTTGCACACACACGAAAAAAAAGTGGACTTTTCTTTTTTCACATTTAAATTACAATTACACTTTGTGGGAGTGCTAGTGCCCCCTGTAAAGTTGTTTGCACCTCGTGGCACATTGGCAGCATTTTTTTTTTTTTTCCGCACATTGGCAGCATTTCAGGTTCACAACTACCCAGCGGTAGGTGGCGTGGTGCTCGCGAGCGTTTATCACCACCATCATCATCATCATGGTTAAAACGGTGGCACCAGCAGTGACGCCTAGCGGCTAGCCTTGGTGGCGGTGCGAGAGATGAGCGGGTCTATTAGGCGGGTGGCGGTTGTCGCGAACGGTTGTCTTTAGCAGTGGGTTCCCGGTGCGCAGCACCGCAGGTTGCACCCTGGGGGTCCTCGTGGTAAGTCAAGCATTGGCGAAGCCGCCTTGTGTGTGTTTTTGTGTTTGTTATGTTTTTGAGTGTTGTGTAATACTGTGTAAGGTTGTTTAGTGTGTTGATCATAATATGCATAATTATTCGGCTGACGATATCGCCGTTCTAAAGGTAGTTAAATAAATGAAGTAAATGTGTGTGGTTTTGGTTTGTTCTGACCGTGTCTACTGTGTCCCTGTTCCAAGAGCGTGGCGATCTCGCCTCTTCGAGACCCCACAACTCAAACCTCGTTATAACAAATGCAGATACAACCAAATATAGTATATAACGAAGTGAATGAAGAATAGATGATTGATTGATATGTGGCGTTTGACATCCCAAATGCACCATATGATTATGAGAGACCGTAGTGGAGGGCTCCAGAAATTTCGACCACCTGGGGTTCTTTAACGTGCCCCCAAATCTGAGCACACAGGCCTACAGCATTTTCGCCTCCATCGAAAATGCAGCCATCGCAGCCGGGATTCGATCTCGCGACCTGCGGTGAATGAAGAATAGTCTTGCAATATAGTGTTAGGAATATGCAGGGTTCATGCTCGTTTACATGACTGAAATTCGAGGGTTTTCAAGAACTTTCAAGGCTATGTGTGCGAATTTTGAAAGAGCACTCTGTCTGTTAAAAACCTAATATATACATGTACAGGGGAGTATAAAGACTTGAAGTTACTACAATTCATCGAAAAAGGGTAATATCACTGGAGCAAATGTAAAAAACATGGCTCTAATGACATTTTCTTTCTAGATAACTTTCACTCATGCTTTTTTAAAGTTGCATAGGCAATCACATTCAGCATGACGAGTTGCGAACTTTTATTCAGATAGAAAAAACTAAGCAAGAGTTATTACACAACACATTGCTGCTTTTTCTGAATTTTCATATCAATATCCACTTTCTCCTGCGGCTAGGTCTTGGCAGTCTTTCTCAGGCTATTTGACTTAATGATGCATGTCAGGTCACTAAATGTCTTAGTCTTTTCTACATACGAGTGTGCTGTAGCCGTTAAGTCCTGAATAGCGGCTTCTAGTTTCTTTCCACTTTTGTAAGCATTTCGACCTGCTCCATCTCAATGCAACATTTATTTTTCTGTTTCACATCCTCCTGCTCCTGCCTTTTCCAAAGTTTCCAGAAATGCACAGTGTTTATTCCGTGCAGAAGCTACTGCTGTCCTCAATTCTTTAGTGATGGGCACATTACATATGCCATTAGCTACATTTATAGCATCCCAAATAATGCACTATCAAATGTATGAAACTATTCTTAAAAAACAAAAAAGGAAATTAAAATATTTTCAAGAATTTGCAAAAATTCTAGCATTTTCAAGGCCTTGAAAATGAATTTTTCAATTTCAAGGGTCTTCAAGGAATTCAAGGACCCACATGAACCCTGCTTTATAACGAATTTTTAGATACAACGAACTTATTTTTGTGTAAGATGCAACTATGTTACAATAAGGTTTGAGCGTACTACAAATAACATCTTTCAAACTTTCCTGGGAATTATGTGTAACAAAAAAAATGAACCATTAAATTTCTAGTTCTTGCCTTTATTATAGCAAGGGTCAAAAGTGAACATTTGGAAGAAGTCTGCCAGGTTGGGATCGAAACTGGAGAAATGAGAAAACACCAACAGAATATTTATTTTAAGAAAAACCTGACGTTTCGAAGCCGAATCGTCTTCTTCTTTAAGGGTAAAAAGGCCCGAGATATAGGTGCTTATATACGATTGATTGCCATGCTTGAGAGGCTTCTCACGCTGGGCAAGCAACCTAGGCTTCTCCCGCATAGTTTTTCTTTTTAAAAAATAATTTTTGGTTAGAGTTTTCCCATTTTTTTTCAATAGCGAGGGTCTGATTCTGGCAGATTTAATGCTTTCAGGTCATATGTAAGGAATATTGGTCAGCTGCCAGCTCGTAATAAGATCACGTGCTATGTGACACCAACAAGCAGAGAAAGAGTACACTCACTGCCATGGCTACTAGCGGCACTAACTGCAACCCATTTGATAGACGTGCAGTTAAACCTGCTTATAATGACCTCCTTATAACAAATTACCTAATATAACGAAGTTTTTCTCTGTAACGAATTTTTTTTGGTGATTTTTGTGTTTGTTAAAGTGAATTTTGTATTTCCTCTTGCTCCTGTCATATTCTGCACATTAAACATGCGCCCCACCGTGGTGGTCTAGTGGATAATGTACTCGGCTGCTGACGCACAGGTTGCAGGATTGAATCCCGGCTGCATTTTCAATGGAGGCAAAAATGCTGTAGGCCCATGTGCTCAGATTTGGGTGCACGTTAAAGAACCCCAGGTGGTCGAAATTTTCGAAGCCCTCCACTAAAGCGTCTCTCATAATTATTTGGTGGTTTCGGGACCTTAAATCCCAGATACCAATCAAATCACATTCAATATGTTCAAGAACTGTTACCAACTAGCCTAGCTTTCAATTCTTCTATTGTCCACTTCAAGGATTTTTACAGTGCAATTTTTCCTGCTCCGTGGAGTATCTGCTGCTTTGTATCTAATCTCATTAGAACACGTAACTTGCGCACTGATTTTCTAATATCTGATTTTCTAATATCGAAAAACAATTTCTGCGCATCTTTCCTACACCTGACCAACCCCCTTGCACGCGCAGAGACGTCAACTTGCCGATCAGCAACATGACGTAGCACGCAGCTCGCCGATTGGTCTAAATCAGGTGTGAAAAAGCAGTAGTGAAGTCAACATCAGTTCCTGTTGCCAACCACAGCTACGAAACTGCCCCTTGTTTCTTGGCACTGCGGTGAAAGAACCAGACTCGCAGTTTTCACGTGCACATGTACACTCTTCGCTCAGCTACAGCGCCTGTGCACATGTACAAACGTACTTCGCCCTTGACGTCAGCAACACAGGTAAAAAACGTTGCTCTGTCGTCGGCTGCAAATTGAGCGACTGGGAAGCGGAGAAGCATCGGCACTGAGTGCCTCACGATGGGGCCCTGCGCGCTGCATGGCTGAAGCGAATTGGCCATCCAGCGACGTACATCGGCGACCTGATCGTTTGCGGTCAACACTTCACACCTGATGCTTACACGGTTGACCCGCGGCTGGTGCGGCAAACAGTAAACAAACAACCACGCTTCGCAGCAAGCCGAAGTGTGCTACGACTGATCGAGTTTGCCGATGACGTCAATCGCTGATGTGGTGTCATGTTGCCGAAGTCGGCGGAGTTACGACGATGGGCTTCGCCTTCCCCTTCATGGAAGGAAGAAGGGGAGCGAGGCCGCGCGAAAATTTGAAACCAGCTTAGACCGATGTTCTAACACTTATAACTTCCTTGTTATAGCACGTATTCACAAAATTCTTGTGGCAGCATGTTCGCAAAGAAAAACTGCACATATATCTCTTTTCAAAAAATTTTAGACCTCAGAGCTCCTTACTGGCCCTTTAAGGTACACAGAGCAACAAGGTTGCTCTTTTTGATTCTATGAATCCCACATATGTCATTGATGCTCTGTCTAGCAAAAAATAAAAACTAGTTTATTTTGAAGTTTTTCAAAGATGTAAAGGTCAAGGAAACTTGCAAAGCCGCAAACATATAAAGCAAATTCGAATACATCCCTAATCTTTCCCATTTACTGTTGTCATTGTATACACTGCTCACCTTTGTGTTCTTCATGAGCGAACCTTCATAGCCTGTTGGCTCATGTCTGTGTGCTTATGATTAGTGGCCATAGGTCCTTCACACAGTAATGTGGTTCAGCCACTTTGTTACTTCAACCCCACCCCATGCAGGTAGGTTTAAAAGAGGCAAGCAGATGGAAGAGTGAGGAGATAGTAGGTTGAGGTGGAAGATGACATGATTAGTGAGGTGAATGATGACATGTTTTTGAAGAACAACAGACTATTATGCTCCACAAAAGCACCCTGGCTGCCTCTTATTAATTTTTTTATTTGTTTGTTACTGCGAGCTTCACTACATCAGGCTTTGGGCAGGAGTGTGTGGCATAGAAGTATGCCGTCATCAAGAAGAAGGCACCAACAAGGACAATTCCAGACATATGCCGTTGTAGCATTGTAACACTGCAAATGTAAGGATAAAATATCATAAAGGTCAGGAATAACTGTCACAGTTTTTTTAGTTGGAAGTAACCCCAGCACAGCAGTACTCCAATACAACTTCTGAATTATTATGGAAAGAACAAAATCCTCCGGCCAGCAACTGATCTAGGTTTTGCCTTGACTCATGTTCTTCACAGCTTGGATATAGACAATAAAACACTATTCGAAACTTGTAGTCATAAAAAATCAACCTACCATTTTATCAAAGGAGGGTGCTAATCAATGCTGTTTATTGACAGAACAGGTGTTTATTTTTGTAATGCTCTGTCTAGCTCTGCAGCAGCTTGAACTATATTAGACTGTAACAAATGCACCTGTTAAATATTTTCATCTTCTGAAACAAATACCTCCACTCACTTGCTTCTTTGTTCTTCGTGCTCGCAAAACAGGTTTCTGTTGTAATGGCCTGACCTCGACAGCGGCCTTTTCATCCTTTGTGATCCTTGGACTTGAAGACGGAGTTCCGAAACTGTCCAAACTCTGCATCTTCATCTGCATGAAACAAGGCAGTGAAGCTGTCAATTGAGAAACTGACCCTATTTTAAGGGCTTGCAAGTAACCACACATATACTGAACCCCAATGTGAAAACATACTGGTTACAAATGCAGCAAATTTGGTATCAAGAATGGGCAGTGCGGAAACACAACATGCACCATGGAAACAACAACTTCACAAAACTAAAGCGGTATGTTACAAAAAGCCTCACAGCCAAGTGATAAGTTCTTCTTTAAAATTATGCTGTTAATTTAGCCAACATACACTTGAAACTCGAGAAAATGCAGTGTTTTAGCTCTAGGTTGACATTTAATGAATACCACCATTTTCATTAAGTTGCAGAAATTATATAAACTTGCAGAGCTTTCTGCACTTCAAAAACGAACCAAACTTGAAAGGCTGAAATTATTTTTCTTATTACATAATCACGTTAAGGTAAGCTACTACAAGTACTTTGAGATCTATACACAAGAAACATCAAGACACACACACAGCATGTACATACTGCCTCACAAAGCTCATTACGACTGCTTCAGGTACAATTTCTTCCCTAGTGTGATTCAACAGAAGCATATGTTGCCAGATCCGGGTGTGAAAACTAAATCCCTGAGTTTTTAGAAGCCATAAGCTCTATAGTGTTTTCTGATTCTATGCATTCAGATTGAGATGCCATGTGTAAATTAGGTGTCTTGTAATTAAGCTATGATATTTATTATGTGTTTTGATAAGTTGTATAATATATGTTTTAGCAGCGATGCATTTTTTCCTTGTTTCACTGATGAGCTTGCCATTTATAATACTTTTATTATATGAATTTCAATTCGTGCCGTAAGACGATATGTGTTCCAGTAAAAAAAATTCTTTTTCGTGCTGCTCTTATGCACATTTCTGTTTAAATATGATTTGTCTCCACTCCTGTAATAGCCCTCTAAAAAGGGCTGACAGTATCAATAAATGAAATGAAATCACCAAAAGACTAAATGAAGGTCAAAATTTCGTTTTAAAATTTTGTGCCAGAATTTCATGTCAGAGTAATGTCATAGTTCGAAGTGTTCATCAGTATTTTTGCCGCACTGGCTAAGAAAAATTTGCTGAAACTCAGTACATTAACTCTCTGGTAAATTCAGAGGGCAATGTACTTCATTTTTACTGATTAAAAACTGCATGCCCTGCCAAATGCTGCCAAAAACTATGACGTCACAGCGAGTTGGTGCGTGAACTTTCGGGTAACGTCACCACCTGCATTATCGTTTTCCTTTTTGTGAAACGCGATCTTTTGTGAAATTCGAACTCACTAATACAAGACAAATCCCTTTCATCTTTAGTGTCCTCTTAATGTCTTGATTGACCCCATCACACAGTTGTGCAGTGGAACTGCAGTGGTGTCGTTGATCACGGCGCCACTGCAGTTCGATTTGCATCAGAATCACGAGTCAACTACATGGGTGAACGACTGGAAGAATTCTTCGAAGCAAATATAACATTACCTTAATCAAGACCTTTTTCCTGAATTTCGCACTGAACTCCGCGAGCTACATTCCCTTGTGAAGCCTGGTAGTACTAAAAAAGCTAAAGGGTGAACCTGTTTTGAGCCATCACAGATCACCAATACTTTCGATTCCACGTTCCGGTGCAGAGCAGCAGATGAGTTGACGACTACCTTGCAGAACTGCGACCACCGTGGTCATGTGATAGGCACTTTTTTGCGGCGTTTCGTCAGGGGTCCGCGTGAGAAAGGAGTGCTGCGGCTGCTCATCACTCAGCCAGGCAGTTTGACGTCGTGCTTGAACGATAGCCGTTTGCTGGTAACCGTCAACACGCCGACAGTGGCAGTCGGCGTGATCGTTAACCACCACAAGTATCGTGTGAACTTTAACACCAGTCAATCACCAGACAAGAATCTGTCGCAACAAACAATGCGCCAAATACAGTCAAACCTCATTAGTGCGTATCCATTTTAAGCTTACTAACGGTTGAAACATTGTTGCGATGAATCCCGGACCAAAGTTCATAGGCACTAATGCATTTGCGGACCACTTAAGCCGTATTGTTCGGCTTATGCTTACCCGAGAACTACGAAAGGTCGCAAAAATTTTCCAAAACGACTGGAAAGGTATGCGAACATCTAGGTATATTATGCGACGTTGAATTGACGCCTTTAACAGGAAGTTTTCTAGAAGATGTTGAGAAAACGTTCTTTGCAAGAAGTCTTTTTCAAAACTTTTACTAACGTTATTTTCTAGAACTTTTGGTAGAATTCACAAATGAAGTCTCAATCAGTCCATGCCATATATGCAAGGTGTTTTTTTAAGCAATACATATTTTTCTTTCAAAAACTATTATGGCTATAGAGTAGGCGCCCTTCCCCTTGGCAGCCTATTTCTAGGCCGAGGTGGAAACGTTTTGCCACTATTTTGATCACTCAGAAATGGTTAATGAACAAAAATATTTGAATTAGATTTCTTATTATCAAGTTTAGGGTGGTTATATGGCAAAGCTGTTCTACATCACAAATAATGGCGAGCGTGAGCGTATGTTTTAGAAATTAAAAATATCACGCGTGGTTTCCGACATCCATCGGCAAATTACCAGAAAAAAAATATATATATACATATATATATAAGGAAAGAAGTGTATACTTCTGGACTTGTTTTTTCGTATTATGACACAATATTAATGAGATCTAACAGACAATAATGCCAAGGAAAGCATAGGGGAAGTTATTAGATTGAATTGTAATGTAAATGTGAAGAAAGAAGAGACGGTGAAAAGATAACTTGCCGTAGGCAGGAACCGAACCTGCGACCTTCGAATAACGCGTTTGATGCTCTACCAACTGAGCAGCCACGGTGGCTTTACCCCCCGCCACTTTTTTGGGTATATATGTGAATTAAACGTAGGAGTGTCAGTCAGCCCCACCAGTAGCCATAACAGCGAGTGTGGCACACTCTTTGATGAGCCTGTTTGTAGTCACGTAGCACATGAACTTATTACGAGCCAGCAGCTAATCCCTCGTATAGAACCTAATGGCACTGTGTGTGTGGGGAGGGGGGATGATCGGGAAACCAATATGACCTTCCTATTTTTCAGCCCACCCTACACGTGGACACAAAATCGGCGTACTAAAGAAGGCTACTTCACCGTTGGCGATCCCTCACCTATAGTGTCAGTCATTGCTTAACTGATGAAATAAATTGCGATATATATTGATGGGGTTTAACACTCTGAAACCATGCCATGATTATAAGAGATGCCCTAAGGAAGGACTCCGGAAATTTCGACCACCTGAGGGTTCTTAAATGTACACGGACCTCAAGAAGTTGTGCCTCCATGAAATATGCGGCCGCCGCGGCCGGGATTTGCTCCCGCTACCAGCACGGGCCAGCAGTCGAGCAGTAGTATATCCACAAGACCACCATGGCGGGCAGTCTTTGCGCGTCACGTTCATGGTCACGCTAGGCCTGCTAGTGTAGCTTGTACACCAGGAACTGCAGCGAAGCTGCACTATGACGGCCCCGCACAAAGCCATGCACTGTTTCTTGCGCTATGCCAGACCATGCTTCCTGCCTGCCCGTGCATGCATCATTTCACTTTCTGTCAAATTCCCCTGCAGACGTGGGCTGAGCCGTGCTCCTAGCGAGGGCAGCAGAAAAGCGCCCTTTCTCTCCTCGACCTCACCTCCTTCTTCTGGCACCGAGACATTGTCGCAACCAGTCGCAACCGGTAGTCACCACTTCGCTATTTTATGTCATCGTGTTATACCCTCTTATTGGCCGACCGTGACGCCGCTCTGACTCCCTCTCCACAGCGAAGCTGCCAAAGATTATCCCAGCTAACACGTGGCAGTCACGTTTCGCGCTCACTGCATAGTTTCTTGTTGGATTTCTTTGTGTTTTGAGATTTCGCTTGGGATCTGCTTTTTCCAGTGAGAACTGTGGTACCCAACAGATGTAAGTGCCATACTCCCTATTTTGTTGGAGAAAACATGCTGCGGTCGAGCTGCTTTTTCAATGCTAGACCGTGTTGGAAGGCAGCCTTACAAAACAAAACTCGTCTGTTGAAAGCGTAGGTAACGTCAAAAGTAATTATTATTATTAAACTTTGTGAAACAGTAGTTTTTAATACAGTACCTTTGGCCAATGAATGCTGATAAAGCATCTAGTTCATCTGCCAAGATGAGAAAGTTCTACACGCTGCAGTTATCAAGTTGCATCAAGCTATTAGCATCAAGCTACGCTGAAATGCTAATACGAGCAGTGTATACACCAGTGTAAGATGTGCAAAAAGAACTATTATATACTGGTCATGAACACAAGCTGCATATAATTTGCAATGCTGTGGGCTTGGTTGTCTTTTTCATTTCCTTCTTTGCATCACCTATCCTAAACTTCAGCGGTGTTTGTGAATAAAATAACTTAACATACTGTTTCCTCTAGATTTTCTGCGGACATCGACTGACTTAGCTCAAATCATTTTAGTAAGCTGGTGCATGTGAGATAATGTTTTTTACTTTACTGTGTCTTTTGTGTGGGTATTTTGAAGTGAAATTGGAATTCGGGGTGTTGCCAAAACCACAATTTGATTGTTAAACACAGCTTTGTGATGAAACCCATTATTTTAACTACTCATGGTTCTAACATACCTAAATTTAAGCGCACTGGGTGAGAAAAAAAAACAATAGTTCGACGGCTGCTTTTTGGCTATTACAAATTTTCCACCTTCATATGTTTGTTACTGGGCCAATAATGTGTTTGCTAAGCTAGCCTGCTAATTTTCGTTGCACTGATAGATGTCTACTTGAAGAGAACAGTCTGTACTAAACTGTGCCTTTTGGATATGTGCAGGTTCCTGAACAAAGTATCTGACCAGCATCTCAGTGATTGCTTGGTATAAAGTTACAAAAAGCGTGCAAGTTTCAAGACAAAGTATGTCATCATTTTCTTGTTTCTATGTGCCAAGTCGTCAGCATATCATCGTAATTATTGCTATGTATAAT